TTGCACGTGGAATCAGGGTCCGGTTCATTCAATCGACATCGACAAGCCTCTTCATCGCCATCACTTCGTCTACGGATAATTTCATCGACAAGATCATTTCGTTGACAAGGCCGTTACGTCATCTGCCTTTTTTCACAATTTCATGTATTTTTAAGTGTCTAATTTTTTTTAAAGCTTTACCTAAAGCAAACTTTGTATCCTTTACGACTATTATCAGAAAATACTTTCTTTGAGATTTGTAATTACTTACTCCTTTTTATTATACTACGTTACGTTGCAAAAACTGAGCCTTTATTTAATCGGTGCTTTAGTGGTATTTTATTCGAATTTCCTTACAAGACTGTTTGTTTATGTTTAGCTTTTGAAGATTATAGATAATATATTATAGATTAGCACCGCAAAGCAATTACTGCAAAAGATTCTTGATATAGCAAGTAATGGAAGAAAGAAAGGAATTTTTCATTTTTCGGTAGTTTTTCTTTTCAGCGAATTACTGAATCCGATATTACTTGATATTGAAATAATTTTAAAACTAAAAATTGATTTTAATTTCATTTCTTTATTTTTTTTTTTAAGTAAATTGATAGTTGGTTAGGAGAATTTAACAGAGATCGATACATGTATCAACAGTTGCTTTTTTTAATTCCTTAATTGCAATTGCGCAAGGATTGTCCTCACATTATTACTAAGCATAATTATTTGACCGTTTTCAACAATCTATTGTGAATCTAGCCAGATATTTACAATCAAACGATAATTAGAATTCACTTTGTGTGATGTTAACAATCAAACGATATTTAGGATCCACAATGTGTGACGTTCACAATCAAACGATAATTATAATCCACATTGTGTGATGTTAACAATCAAACGATATTTAGGATCCACAATGTGTGACGTTCGCAATCAAGCGATAATTAGAATCCACATTGTGTGATGTTAACAATCAAACGATATTTAGGATCCACAATATGTGACGTTCGCAATCAAACGATAATTAGAATCCACATTGTGTGATGTTAACAATCAAACGATATTTAAGATCCACAATGTGTGACGTTCACAATCAAACGATAATTAGAATCCACATTGTGTGATGTTAACAATCAAACGATATTTAGGATCCACAATGTGTGACGTTCACAATCAAACGATAATTAGAATCCACATTGTGTGATGTTAACAATCAAACGATATTTAAGATCCACAATGTGTGACGTTCACAATCAAACGATAATTAGAATCCACATTGTGTGACGTTCACAATCAAACGATATTTAGGATCCACAATGTGTGACGATAACAGTCAAACTATATTTAAAATCCGCAATGTGTGACGTTAACAACCAAACGGTTCCACACTGTTCGGTAGTAATCACAACCTATTTAAAAGCAAAGTATTTTTACTAATGAAGAGGAAACTTCATGGCAAATTCTCTCTCCTCTGCGTAAGTATTTTAAAGTTAAAAATAACTTGTAGTAGACCATGGAATTTCATATTCTGAAGATCCGCCGGGGACAGGTCGTAAAAACACCTAGTAGACCACCGAAGTCAAGCATCACTGGCTGCGGGAGAGTGACCACAGCTGCGCAGGGACAGAGGGTGCACGGTATAGGTGCTCGTTCAACTGTTCTGCAGTAAAGTGCTCGACTTCACTTGCGGGTCGTCGGATACCAAAGCAGGGTAGTCATTCTCACTGCAGAGGTTCAAAATTGCGATGGCATGTCTTCTGATTATCCTCATGGATGCTCCCCAGACCGTCGCCAATACCTCATTGTNCAATTCCATTGCTTAAAATATCATCTGAACAAATATTTTTGACAAAGTGTCGCCCTTATCTTAAGACCTGTTTGGACGACCCTAGTTCTTGGACAAAGATTGATTGAAATTTATGGAAACTTGTTTTTGCCTTGAGCCTGGATTGCGTAAAGGATCATTCAAGTACTTGGACGGCACTAGAACATGTTCTACTTTCCATCCATCCAAGTTTGTTTTTTCTTCCTTAACCAATAAGCGTCTTAGGTTTTGTGACGTCAACAAGCAGGAATCAGTTTATTTCATTTCGTTATCTGCTCTCATATATTTTAGTCCAAATAAAATGATCTGTTCCGGTTTATTTGTGATATTATGATTTTATTTGAATTTATTCGGTAATTTCAAACTTATGTAAGTATTATTTTATACTGTTTAATATGAACAATGCACATGCGCAAGTTTTTCTGTCTACAATGTGGAAGCGCAAGTTTTTCTGTCTACAATGTGGACGCGCAAGTTTTTCTGTCTACCAATCTGTGACATTCTAGAACTTCGAGAGTGTCGACGAATCATCCGATTTCTTGGACAGAGAAATCTTTCCGATTTCTCGGGTTCAAGAACTTAGACCGTGTAAACAGGCCTTTAGTTCGCGAAAAACCAAATCATAAGATCAAATGTTATTAATACTTTTTTCCTTATTTTGCAATTTGTAAATTTTAAAAATGTTACTCACCACAGTCTTTCTCATCGGAACTATCGGGACAGTGTCGAAATCCGTCACAGAGGAAGTGTTTATGGATACATATAATACCACACTGAAAATTATATTTTTCAGAGCACCAAGGAGTACAACCTTCTTCGTCAGAGCCATCAACGCAATCTTCTCTGTAATTGCATTTCTGAAAAGAACGTAAGCATACTCCATCTCCACAGAAAAAACCTTGACAGGATGATGCAGCTAAATGTAATGAAACAAATAAATTATCACTTTCATAAAAAATCTAGAAACACTAAGAAATGTGGCTCAACATTCTGTTTATTAAAATTGGTTGTTGTTGTTGTTGCGTTGTTGTGGTTTATCCTCCAATGCCTGACGAAGTCAGACAATGTCCATCAGACAGTTGACCTTAAGGAAATCGAGGCCCAGAAGGGGAGATAAGTATATGTCCTCTCTGGAAAGTCCCTAACAGTTCAGGATGTGTTCGGGAGAAGCCTGCTCAGTTTATCATTTAGAGCAGACCTCGAAGATTCTCCTGCATTCGAAAAACGAGAGACTTTTTGTGTCACCGCTTGCTAATCTGGAAATTGCGGTTTTAGAAGCTCTGTCACAATTGATGTCAAGGAGGAATCTTCCACCCCTACGAAATTTCAGAATTAACTATGGATTTAAAATTGGATTAGGGTTCAAAAAGGTTTTCGATAACCGCTTAAACCTATCCACTCAAATTTTGTATTTTGCCTAATAAAATTACATACTTTAAAATGATGAGAAAAATTGTACAAATTACAATTCAAAATTTTTTCGACTATTTATTTAATAAAGCAATAAAAAAAATCTTTACTACAATTCATTTTGCATGGAATTATCTTTGGATAAACGAATCTTATAACTGTGAGCAAATATTTTTCAATTCAGTCAAAAAGTTCTCGAGATATGGCGAAATACAAGCAAAAGAGAATTAACATGAAGGGATCCGAACTTTAATAGGTCTCGAGATCAAACTATCGGAACCATATTTCCCATATTGCATCTACCCCCTATAATGTGGGGGTCAAAAATCCAAATCCGTTGAAAAAAAAAGTATGTTTATACAAAACAAAGTACGTTTTTGTGTCTGATTTTAACTTGAAAATAAATTAGCATATCTAATATCACCCCGTACAGCCATTAAGATTGAGTCCTAGAACGTAAGGTTTCGATCAATAGATCTTAAGTTATTCAGGGTAATCCATTTTTTTTGTGAAATGTACATTTTAGACGTAACAATACTTTGATTTATATTTCATTTTATTTAATTGGTAAACATAATGATTTAATTTACATACAATTAGTTTAAATCAAGCATGGAAATTAAATCTGGAACAACAAATTCATGGAATCTCCCTACATTCGCAATTGTTAATTCACAACACTTACTTATTAACCGCTTCCCTGATGTATGTATATATATATTGCAAATATTTATTATCCCGAGAATATTCGGGAGAATTTGTCAGTATGTTTTTGTTTTAACACGCTTTTACTCGGCCAAAGAAGAAAAAAATCTGCTGTGATTGCCAAGTTTTGTTTGCGAGTTTTGCTATTGGATTGAGGGACTGATCACGTGTTTTGTACAGTTGTATATATGATGGTTGTTGAATACACACAAGTTGTTGAATACTTACAGGTTGTTGAATACTTACATAAGGAAAAAGATCAAAATATGGCATATCACTTCACAGGCGTCTCGAAAGTATCACTTTGTGTTGCCCCTCGTGTTAAAAACTGTCACTAATATTTAACTTTTTTCTCTTGCCCGAGATAATTCGGGATGATGAACTGGTGGCAAATTAAATGTGTTTTACAAATAAAAAAATGAAAATTTCAACTTAAAACTTGCGTATTATGTTTTGCTTTAGTTCCTTGTATTCATTAATGGCTAAAAAAATATGCTTTAAAATAAAGTTTTAAATATCTGCAGCAAATAATTCCCAAATCTAAATTTCATTGCTAGGAGACGCTGTATTTTTAAAGCCCATAATACTGAAGTAAAATAATAAAGTATGTAAAAATCAAAGAAAAAGGTCAGAGAATGACAAAGAAAAAACCACCTAGTAACAAAGTAAGTAAAAATGGATGAAGTATACCAGGAACGGGAAAAAAAATTATGCTTAATCTATGAGCATAAACAGCATAAGCCTAGATCTTAAAATTTCTCTATGAACACAATGTTAAAATAGAGAGTCATAAAATCACAACAGTGACAGAATTGAAAGATGTAATGCTATATATATATATATATTTCTCTATTTCCTCATTTAATGGGGGGGGGATAAAGACTTTCATTAGGTCAATTATAAACTAACATGATAATTTTTAGCGCCAAATTAAAAAGGTTTATTGCTAATGCGACATCAAATGCTTCAGAAACTCATATCTTCAAAGACGAAACAAAATAAATCAAATTCCTATAACGCCTTTGACAAACAACAGAAGCAACCTTGACTCGCCTTTTAAATGTACCCTCAAAAAATTGGTTCACTGTAAAATCTTAAGCTTTTTGATTTTCTTTTTTCTAATTCAAGAAATAGTTCATCTTGTTACGATTAACAAATTAAGAAAATGTNTCAAATGCTTCAGAAACTCATATCTTCAAAGACGAAACAAAATAACTCAAATTCCTATAACGCCTTTGACAAACAACAGAAGCAACCTTGACTCGCCTTCTAAATGTACCCTCAAAAAATTGGTTCACTGTAAAATCTTAAGCTTTTTGATTTTCTTTTTTCTAATTCAAGAAATAGTTCATCTTGTTACGATTAACAAATTAAGAAAATGTTCTTACAATTGATTATAATAATTATATATTTATACACGAAATGATCCTTTTTTTTCCTTGAAAAGTATCGAATTTCAAGGCGAAAAACAAAGATGGATTCGAAGTTACTCTGGTCACAAAAAGCATGTAACCTTATGGCAACATTTTGTCGAGATTTTTTTTTTATTGTAACGGAAATATCTATACTGAAAATACTTTTTTCAATGAAGCAAAAATATTGCAGCTTCAAACCTCATCCAAAAAGGTTAAAAAATTATTTTTCAAAGCTTTTTTAAAAGTATTGTCACTTATATCTAAAATGATATCTTAGCTGACGTCACACTAGCGATAGGATAAAATTGCATTGTCCATTAAAATTTCAAAACGAGCGGGATTTTAGCTGAGCATACCAGACTTTGCGAAAAGAAACCTTATAATTACCTGGATTTAAGATTATTTTCACCTTGAGACTAGCTTTATTGAAGGATTTTTTCACGCTAAGACATCCTCGATTTAAGGTTTTTCGATTTAAGGTTTCGATTTAAGGTTCATATAGAAGGTTGTTTTCCGAGGTTTTGGATTAGGGTAATGGGTGTCGAATAGAGCAGGTGTTGACAGATCTCGTTTTAATGTTCAAAGGCTTGCACATAAACCGCTATACAAACCATTTTATGTTTACAATAAACGGGTTTTGCTGAATTTATTACGGGTCAGCGAAAAAAATAACTTTTTTTTGCTATCTCGGTCTGGGGAGTTGGGGAGCGCAGCAAGCAGATTCGGAGCTTCCAAATATTTTAAAATACAGATAAAGTTTTATATACTGCAATTTGATTCGTCACTCTTATCTCTACAGTCACTCAATCCATCACATGAGTCTGATTTCAGGATGCATTGCCCGCTTCTACATCGAAATTCAGTTTCTGAGTTACATACTCTGGCATGGCAATCACGTTCGTCACTGTTATCATCGCAATCTTTGTCTCCATCGCAAACATCAAATTTATCAATACAATTTCCATCATCACACTGAAATTGGAATGGACAAGCAGCTGTAACAAAAAAGATATATTCTTTAAAATAAATATCGAAATCAGTTACAAATATGTTGGCTAATAATAGGTAAGAGAACCAAAACTTTGATTTTCTTATAGCATTCTANTAGAAGTTGTTTTCAAAGGTTTTGGATTAGGGTAATGTGCGTAGAATAGAACAGATGGTCATAGATCTCGTTTTAAGGTTAGAAGGCCTACAGCCGCACTACAAACCTTTTTTAGGTTTAATATAAAAGAGTTTTGGTGAGTTAAAATAAATCTTTTTCTGATATCTGCGTCTGGGGATTTGGGAAAAGAAGCGAGCAGATTCGGAGTTTCTAAATATTTTGAACTACAAATAAAATTTTATTTACTGCAATTGTATTCGTCACTGTCATCTTCACAGTCGGAATATCCATCACATACGTCTGATTTCCAGACGCATTCCCCGCTTTGACATCGAAATTCAGTTTCTGAGTCACATACTGTGGCAGGGCAATCACGTTCGTCACTGTTGTCTTCGCAATCTTTGTATCCGTCGCAAACATACAATTCTGTAATACAATTTCCATTGTCGCACTTAAATTTGAAGGGACAAGCAGCTGTAAGAAGAAAAAAAAATTCTTTAAAATAATTATCTATTCCAGTTACAAAAGTGTATGCTAATAATAAGTAAGAGAACCAAAACTTTTGAATTTTTTTTAAATAATATTCTACGATTTATTATTATATTTTTTATTTATTTTCGCTGCAAGTAAAACAGAAAGCTTGCTTTTTCTTTCCTTTGCTATTCTTTGCTTTCCTTTGCTATTTCTTTGCTATTATTGAGAATAGATTAACTCCTCCCGAATATTATCTAATATTGAAATAGTTCTTATACCAGTATTTTCTATTTTCCGTCCCGCTTTCAGGCCTGGGTGTGAACAGCCGGCGTGAACCTGTTAATGGCGTTT